TTGAGAAATTGAACATACTTCTATATACCAAGGGTTATTGTACAGTTAGAAGTATTGCTAGCACTAAAGATACTGCAGTTGTTCAAGAACTTGTTGAGAAGAACTTGAGTAATTTGTTTATTAACAATATGATAGCACTAAAAATGGAAATAAAAAGAAGCCTAGAGGTGTAGCAAAAAAATATAATAAGACAAATTTAAAAAGTATATACAAAGAGTGACTTGGCAATTTTTGATATACAGTGAGCTGAATCTAGCAAACTTTCTGATGAGAGTGCTCAATTTAGAAGATTGGGTATTGAGTTTAGTAGTTATAGGCTAGTTAAAGTTAGCTTTAAAAAAATTCAAAGTGAACAGATTTACAGACTACTTAAATATGAAAACTTGAAGGTTTAATAGCTACTTTTTTTGTTCAGAGTTAGAAGCTATTAATTGCTTTACTCAGAATTGGGCTAGAGTAAGAAATTATATATACTTACTAAAATATAGAATATAGATAGTTATTATAGTACCGAGTTGGATCTTGGCTCTGTGGTAGCTATTGATACTGAATTTACCCAGAAGTGAAATCAATCTTTTTCAACAAAGCATATTATAATATCAGGGTTCTTGAAAAATTTGAAGTCTTGCAAAAATGATTAGTAGCTTCTGAAAGCAGTATTATTAGATTGGTCTGAGAGTTGTTTAGAAAAGCTAAATACTTGATAGACTGTTTGATTAGTAAGATATATAAAAAACAGTTAGAAAAGGTATCTAGTATTTTTGAAAATTTTGTACTCTAGGTAAGTTTTTTATCTTATTTGTATCTAAAGAGTTTTTGGCAGCTTTTTTTGCATAGCTTGAGGCCTTAGGTAGAGTAATAAAAATATCAATCTGCTTGGTAGTAATAGCAAAAAAATATAAAATTAGAAATCTTGAGGATTTAATAAAAGGTAGCTTAGTTTATTTAATAGTAGAAGGAAGCAAAAGAGTTGTAGCACAAGTAAAAAAAACAAACCTAGCTAACCAAGAAACTCATTGCTAGTTGCTGTAATTAGGCATTATATGAAGTATCTACTGCTAGTAATTAATATAAAATTTGGGTATGGGATTTAGCTTTAGTAGTATTAGGATTAAAATTAATACAAAAACCAGCAGAGCTGTGTAATTTGAAAAGATCTAACATACTAGAAAAAGATAGAAAGTTGTGGTTTAGAATTGTAAAGTCCAAAATAAATTAGTTGGAGAAAAAAAGTTTATTCTGTTAAAAACACAAAATAAGCTTTGTTTGGTAAAATTGTTAAACTTGTATTTAGAAGTAAGGCCCAGAACTCTATCGAAAAAGCTATTGTTTTTGTTAAAAATAAAAAAGAAGCTATTTGAGTAGCTGTTTCAGTAATAGTTAAACATTTTTTTAAAAATGCAAAGATATATAGAAGATATACTGTACAGTATATAGTTTAAAAATTAAAAGTGCAATAGCAGCTATACAAGAAGATATAACAATAGAGCAAATTCAATCAATTAATAGCTGGTTGTCAAAGGCAGTACAATTGCATATAAGAGCAATTAGTATAGCCAAGATAGGAGCTTCGAGACTAATAAGTTTTGACCAATAAGGTAAAACAACTTAAGTAGCAATACTTGGTAAAATCTATCTCTTAAATTGTAACACAGGCAAATTTGCCTGCGAAGATTTTTACTAATTTTTTTTAATATTTAAATTTTTTAATAAAA